TTTAAAAGAACACATCATTTCTCCCATCAGAGAATTTTTGTTTACAGATTATGGATGTTGTATTATTAGCATTCTTCCCCTGAGAACAAACAACCGAATTGTCTCCCGAAACAATCTCATATCTCGACCTGGAGACTGTCTCGCTGACTTGCAGTGCCTCCTTGGTGTTGTCGCCACGAGAACATACCCAAAACATTCTCTTATCTCCATCTGGAGGCCGACTGGCCGATGGCCATGGATCATATCTATGCGTGTGACTATGAAGGAAGTTCCCTCAGGGAACACCCGCTGGAATCTGCTGCTGAATAAAAGTCTGCAGAAAACGCCGACACTCATTCTGTGGCATGACACATGCAATATTAATCTACACATGTAATCTGTCTTGAATGAGTCCTTGCAAGTGAAATGCTGGTTACAAATCTTCTCCTGCCATCGAGTGTGGTTCTTTTGGGTAAACAATGTTAGCATGCCTAAAATGATTATTTGACTTTTTATTTTATTTCTTTCCAGTCCGGAGTTTTGTGAAAACCTTTCAGCTCACCTTCAGGTTTGGTAGCTGAAAATGAGGCCTTGTTTTTCGTCAAACTGTTTGGTTTCTCTTCTTGTTCAGGCATGTTAAAAAAAATAAAATAAAATAAAATAAAATAAAATAAAATAAATAAATAAATAAATATATATATATATTTAATTATTTAAGCTCTACCCATGGAAAACACCATTCTCTGTTTTGTCTTTTGCTTTTACTGACCTTGATATACTAGTGAGCTGCAGGAGCAAAATGTACCCGATGATGACATCATGCTTTGGGTAAAGCCAATGGCAATCGGCCGTTTTCAGCTGTAAAACATCTGATTCTGCAGCCTGCCTGCATGTGAAACACCTGTTTCTGACTAAATGTTTACTTATGCACATTACAAGTAGAGCCCGACTCTATCAATAAGGCCAAGCATTTAGGTCAATATAGACGTTTTGAGACCTATTTGTGATAATGGTCCCATTATTTGCCATTATAAGCACTTCTAATGTTCACCCCTAAATTACTGTGAACCAGCCGTAATTGTACAATGAAACCAGCAGAGAGCGCATGGAGACTACTTTCAAGTCATGGCCGTTCATTTTAAGTCTCACATTCAGCGCAGCTGAAGCAGGGAGCAATACTGTGTGGCGCAACAGAGCATGGTAAGTTTATTTTAACTGATCTGTAAAACAAATCAACTTTATGATGACTAGTGGAGGATATAAAATGTGAATGCACGTTAGGAAGACTGTTTTTATGACCAGTGCATCACTTGTGAACTGAAGGCTCAGTATACGCACGTGTCCTGTCAGCCACACTGAAACTGTGTGCACTGTCCGCAGAGGGTTGAGACTTCATACTCGAGCATACACCCGGAGCGGCTGCAGAGCAGCTCCACAGACGAGGGGCATTTACCTTCGGGACAAACTGAGGTCGCCGATTGGTCATTTGCTGACACACCTACTGGATTGATTGACAGGTCGCAAAAAATATATATTAAAAAAAGAGAGAGCTGGCAGCCCCAGCAACAGCAGCGTTCTGTGTTTATATGTTGTTAATAAAAAGTTCTAAAAAAAAACAAAAAAACTAGGGAGTGGTGGCCCTGCAGTCCACACATCAGACCGGCCCACCAGGAAATCTCAAGACCCTCCCACAGCCATGCTGGACCTGATTTTAATTCTCTTGTGACAAATTCTTTCATTTCTCACCATTTCAATCATGGCGTCAACAGAGGAGGAGGAAGAGATCGCTTGCCTTTTGGCAAAAAAACAAAACAAAAAAAAAAACAAAAAAGGCCATTAAACCAGATCAGGGATGAAGAAGGGGAATTTAATACATTAGTGTTGCATACAAAACAATCCGTCGCCGGGCAGTTTATTGTGCGACACCGAGTATGCGTACATAAAAATTGAGCTTTGCAAGGACATGCCCTGCGGGCGTCCGCTTCGAGTCTAATCCGTTATGCGCGGACCTCCGCGGACCCACGTACGCCCGACTATACTGGAAGCTTTACTGTGGGACTAGGTATAGCATGGATCTGATTTGCTTAGATTCATGGTTGCTAACAGCTATACTAAATAAATAAGCCCCGCTCCACTCGCTGTTTACTTATATTCTTGGGGGTGAACAAAGAAAAAAAAATTCAGTCATTATATCGATTGTCTCCCCCCCACCCCCAATATTGGTATCGGCAAAAGCCACAATTTCCATATCAGTTTGGCTCTAATTACAAGTGAATTTTTACTCTTAACCTCCAAACCAAAGCAATTTTGTTGGGCGAGATCAGAGGCGAGAGTCTTTAGCAACGTCTGGCCGAGAGGAGCTACTGCTTCTGAGATGAGTTGATCTCTGTCTTGGTAGATTTTTAGAGGCTCTCAAATATAAACTAAGAGCACTACCCAGTGAGCTAATATAAAATTGAAAGTATAGGGATAGAGGTAAAAAAAAAAAAAACTACTGAGAGGAATGCATTATTTTATGATATGACAGATGTGGCATTTAAAGTTGCATTTTCTATATATTCTAATGTGTCTGACTCTTCCCCTCAAGAACATGAGAGTAGTAAAGTTACTGTGAGGTTATGAGAGCATTTGAAAAAAAAAAATCTGACAAAAAAAATGAAAAGCAGAGGATTTTTAGGCTTTGACAGAAAAAAAAATCATGTTTCTGTATTACACCCATAAATAAACAAACAAACAAACAAACATATACAAAAATAAATGTGTGGGTGATTTTTTTCCCAAGACAATACCCAGGACGAGTTACAACAGCTGTGAGCAGACTTGTTGCAGGAGAGGATACAAAGGCCCGGTGGGCTATACCCCACTGTCATGGAGCCATCTTGGTGCCCTTGCAGCCAGCTTTGTTTTCTATTTGATTTAATATTGTAATCACTGTAATACAGCCACATGACGTACCATACCATTTCCACCACCCCATCTGGATTCTTTATTTTATTTTTTTAATCATGAGTCTTGTGGGTTTCATTGAGGCACTTGGTGGACTTTAAATGCTACAAATTATATTCTTCAAATGAAAGTTAACTAGCCTCAGTGTGACCTGACAAACTCACCCTATAATGTCCACTGTGTCCTGTGATCCCTTCACACTGCTGTCAACAGAGAGACTAAGACAAAAAAGAGCACAGTAAAGAAAGATTTATTTAGAGTATTTTATCAGAGGAGCAAACATTATTTATGCTATTATGCAAAAACGTTTACTCCTCTATTTAACTAGTAATTAGATATTTATAGGCAGCATGTTTTATTTTTCCGTGATTCTTGATACATACCGGTTAGGGTTGTTACGATAAGATGGTCCTTCCTGAATTAAAACAAAGCAAACACACATATTTTACATTAAATTTTGATTCACAAGCATCATCATCACCTCTTTAAGACAAACAATATTTCATAATCAAACAGTAAAAAAAGACCAAGCAAAGAAACAAGCATGACAAAAGCCCAAATAATAACCTGTGTCAGATGAGATCGCTTTATGGCGGCTTTAAAAGGCTTAAAAAGCTTCTTTTTTTCAGGGTTCCTGAGTTCTTCAAAAGGATGGACGGTTTTCCACGACTGGAGGTACTGAGACATCCGGAGAGATGCCCGCTTAATGTTCTCTTCTGAAACAAGCCTGTTCACCTGAAATGACAGCAAAGGTTACTGAAACAACTATTTTGTTATTTTCATGAATTGTATTTACACTCAAATATTTCTGCAGTCTTTACTATTTATTTCAAAGGATAATACTTCTCACAGCCATAATGACACCTACTGCTTTAGGCCTCCGAGAAATACTGCGTGGCTTGTTGGGGTCAATCACAAGGTACGTTTTTTTTCCTTTAAGAAGAGGATTTCGACTTTCTCCATTACCATCTTCCACGTCGTAGTTTCCATTCAAGTGTTGCAGCGTTTCCTCGGTTATGTGGACTCGCCTTTTAATACATACAACAATACCAAAAAAATATATAATTTTATAGTAATTTGATATACTGAATCACTTTATTGTACTGTTATGAAAATAAAATAATCATAAAATCAAAGTTCCATCATTGAGGCTGTACATTTTCTCACCCGGGAACACCCCCAGACTCCATCTGATTGGCCAAAGTGACGTCATCTGACCACACGTCGTACTGCCACTTCTGCAGGCCAATCACACCGGAGAGCACATTACCAGTGTGAACGCCAACCCTCATGTTGATGTCCACCTCTGTCACGTCTCGCAGGTCACTTTAGAGACAAACATGCAAGTAAAATCAGAACAGTCGTCAAGAGTCACATGCTAATTTTTCTCAATATTTTAACAGGTTTAAGAATGTATTTACAGCATGAACTCACTCACTCACTCACTCACTCACTCACTCACTCACTCACTCACT